TGGTTCTGGGTCCCCACTCATGCTCCAGGTGTTCTCCTTCCAGGTCACCACTCTCTCAGAGTCATCTCAGTCTCTCGAACACTGGGGCTCTTATCTCTGTTCCAGGATTGTGGTTTCGGGACTCTTCCTGTTCCAGGATCATTGGCTGGGAACAGGCTGAGCCTTGGTCATAGGGTGGTGAGCAGTGTCACTGTGTGTCACTCATTTGTGTATATTACTATCATTATTATAATTTCCAATGTTATTTTAGTTATTAAATTGTTCTTATCTCAACCCATTAGTCTCTTTTTCCCTTCACCCCATTAATCCTCTCCCCATCTCGAGAAGCGGGGAGGGTGAGCGGTTGTTGTGGTGTTTGGCTGCCAGCCAGGGTAAAGCTACAACAGGTCAATTAACGGGTCCCACGTATCCACCGCGTGGTTTATGAAGCAGAGAGAATTAAGTGCCAGGACTGGAGAAGGCATTTCCATGATCAGATTGCATGTGTCTGCTTGGCAGGGATTGTTCCTTACCTGCTTCCGGTTACAAAGCTGGGCATTCCCAGAGGAAGGTGTGTGCTTCGTTCCCCTCCCTGGGGTGACCAAGGCAAGCTGGCGATGCGGGTTTTCTCCCTCAATGCTGGTCTTCCTTTGCCCCCTGACTACATTTAAACCAGCAGCAGCACCACGCTCCCATTACTTATTCGGAAAAGCGTCTAACCAAGCCATCGTTTACAATGTGATTCACCCACACCAAGGTTTCACATTTTCTTTCAGAAGGATAAAGCCTTTCTCTGTGAAACTCTCTCTGCCCACAAGTTTTGCCGGTAGCTCATAGTTTTGCCGTGTGTCTTCTAGCTCTGTGGAAAGGGTTGCATGGTGCAGCAGATTGCCGTAACAGGGCGGGAAGCTCAACCAGGTAGGATTTTCTTCCAGGTCTCTGCTTCTGTCTTCAGCATTCCTCACCAGACTAAGAAAGATCCTTTTCCTGAACGGACCCAAGTTTTTAAACTAATTGCTGAAGTGCGTCTTTTTAAAACATTGTAATTTTAGAAGAAAAAAGGCTTCAGGAATGACATACATGTGACAGGCAGTTAAAGGTTTTTATATAAGCAAAATATGTTTGGGAGAAAAATTTGGAATTTTTGTAAAGCTTTATTCTGTGTAGAGAAAGGCATTTTTAATCTCTCCTTACAGAGATGGAAGGAAACAATCAGAAGGGTTAAGTCAAGTTGCATTTGTATTCCTTCTTTTTTTTTTTACCAAAAGCATCTGCCGTTTAAGACAGGTTAAAAACTCAACTTCATGCCAGACTAAGAACCAGCATGATCCAAATAATTATACTAAACCATTTCTAGTAAATTATATTCTTTACTTTTCTGACACCTTATCATGCACATAACCAAATGTTTGTTGTGCAGCAGTATTCTTGTCATGACAAGAAATCTGCCACCTTATAGAAACCATGTGGACGCTCTTTCTGTCTTGGCAGAGTGGACTACGAACGTATACAAGCCGTTGGCCCCGACAGGGCAGCTTCAGAGTGGCTCCTGCGATGTGGGGCACTGGTGCGGTATCAAGGCTCTCAGAAGTGGCAGCAGGACTACAACGGGCTCCCCACGGGGCCCTTGGGGAAGTACAAGATAGAAGCGATTAACGCCACCGAGTCCTGCATCATGTACAGAGGGTTTGACTATTTGGGTAATGTAGACACAGCGTGCAAAGACTACACTGAATGGTCTTTGTTCTTCCAGTTGCATCAAAATAGGAATAACCAGGTCACTTCCTTGTTCCTTACCAAGATGTAGAGAAACCTGCTGAAATATTTTCTTTTTCTTTCTTTTTTTCCTTAAAATGACTTTACAGATATTCAGTAATTCCTAAGATGTTGCTGGAGGTGTGGTGTGAAGCAGAAAGAGATGGGAAGGTCGTCAGCCCTTACCTGAAGTGACAGTAGCACTAAGGAAGTGCGACAGAGATTTGCTATTTTGTTGAGTTCATTGTTTTAAGGAGTTGGCAGCAAAAAGCACTACTTTAAATAGTCCTGTCCTTCTGAACCAAGTGATGTTTTTGGTGTCTGTGAAGTCATACTACTACTTGTTCTCCAGGCATTTACGATGTCTTCAAAGACCAAAAAAAACCCCAAGCTCCCAGTTTCTTACAAAACAAGAGATTAAAACAGTGTTTCAGGTCTCGGTTAAATAACAAAAACCAAAGGAAGGAACAGAACATTTTATTTTTTCATTGGCAGGAGACCTTGAATTTCCTGCATTGGTATGTTCCTAAGTCAGAGTCATTGTTTATCACCCAAACTTGTAGAGTTTTTTGTTACTTGCCCATGTCAAAGCTCTTAGAATCTTACCAAAGGCTACAAACCCCGGGTTTTTCATGTATTTGAAGTCCTGCAAAGGGACTTTGGAGATGATTGTGTGTTACAGCCCCACTCTATAAAGGAGCATGTTGCTGGGTGGTTTGGGAGGCAGTTACTAAATGGAGAACTTAACAGCAGTACAGGTTGTTCTGGTGTTCTGAAGCAAAGACTCATTTTTGTCTTCCCAGATGGTCTTGAACACGTTACAGAAATCAAGCTGCAGAAGTGTATCTACATCCAGGACCAGTGTCTGCAGAGGCTCAGCGAGACAAAGACTCTCCAGAAGAGTCTCCTCCAGCTGAAGATCATTTCCTGTGGGAACGTCACAGATAAAGGCATCATTGCGCTTCACAAGCTGACGTACGTGCGCTGCTGAGCTCTGCTTGCTCCCCGGCTGCTCCCACCCCGCGCTTTTGGGATTATGTTGACTGGAAGAGCTGAGGAGCTCAAACCATCTTCCTACACCTCACACTACTTCCTATCACTGTGTTATCTCGTGCTCGCTGTAGCCCGAGAGGTCTCGGGGCAGAGCTGTGTTTTCTAGTGCCCAGGCACGGGAAGCAGGGCGGGCTGGGTGCTGTGCACCTCTGGAGCACAGCTGTAGGTGCTTTATTTGCCTTAAAGTAACTCCAAACGGTTCAATATTACATGGAGTTAACAGACAGCCACAAATGTGGTGACTTGGATTCCATCCCACAGAAGGTTTCTATATCACTCCATTATTTACATAAAAATAGCTTTTACTAAATTGCTCCTGCAATTATTAAATACTATTTAATATAAGGGAGCCTCGTGATGTGGGGGGTCCAGGATCTCTTTTTAAGCTGTGTAGAAGGACTGAACTTAGGATGAGTTAAAACTTTAATTACTCACTTCAGGAAAACACTTCCATTAGAACCAGTAACCTTTAAAAATACTCCAAATAACTATGGTGGTATAATCCTTTGTCTAATTTCTGTGTCAACAGGCAAATAGTAGTTGCTGACTTTTCTTTTTAAATATTTATAGGAACCTTGAATATTTGTATCTGAGTGACCTTCCTGGAATAAGACAGAAAGAAACTACTGTTCACATGCTGCAGCAGGCACTGCCAAACCTAGAGCTGGAGCTGGATTTAGAATAAACACAACTGCACGTAATTAATCGAGATGTATTTGATTTAATAGTATTTATTTCAACAAATTATGCAATTAAGTTTTATTAAGCTTCAACTATATGGTGAATCAACAACAGAGGAGGTAAGCTGCTGTGTACGGTCACTTTTTTTCCTGTTTTTATAGGAAACTATTAATACATCAATTAGAAAATTTCAAATATTTGATTGCTAGGAAACTCTTGTGCAAAATAAGAGTGGGAAGAAGGTGGGTGCTGTGAAACAGCCACACTGTACGCTTTTACTGTGTGTTGTTGGTGCTGTGGGAATGGGAGCTGTTCACTCTCCGAGAATCTTGCCCCGTCAGGGAGCTGAGTGCCTGGCTCTCGACCGCTGACAGCGAGCAGGGGCGCCGCGCTGCCTTGCACAGGGACGGGGTTGGATGGCTGAATATCCACACAGGAAATACTGGGACACCAAAGCTTTCTGAGCGTAACCAAAACTACCTCCGGACGCAGCGTACAAGATGAAAATGGATATGATATGAAATAAAAGGTGGTCAGGCACCTTCTGTGAGGATATGGCATCTATCCCACTGGAATTGCTTTTACTGTTGTTGAACTCTGAACAGTACTGGGAAAAAACCCCGTTTTTTCTCTAGGTTTTAAGTAGAAAGAGGATGTTCTTTGCCCAATACTAAAACTTGATACAGATCATTCTAGTACATATGTTCAGGCAGAATTCCTGCCTGTGTCTGGCCACTGTTAGAAATTTATTAATGAATTAGTTTTGATAAAAAAAATTCCTGTAACACTACAGGCAAGTGACTTTACTATTGACAGAAGCAGCAAATAAAACCAACCTCAGTGCAAGGAAGAAAGGCAGGAGAAACTCTGTAAAGACTAAAGAAACAACAGGTTTTGTTGTTTGTATGTTCTCCCGGTAACAGAGCCTGCTGAGCCTCACATTAAGTCCTTTTAAGCACTTTTAATGCTTGGTGATCTATGAATGCAGGATGTACGACAGACAGGATCGTTATAGCAGTGCTATTGCAGCAGGTTTGTAACTGACTGCACAAGCTGGGCAGTCTCTCACCGGGCTTCTGCCTGCACCAGTAAGACATTCAGAGCTCCTTGCAGGATCTGTCCCTTAGCCCCAGCCTAACGCGCTATTATGGTGTTGCCACAGCGGGCCTCGGATTTATTTGGCAAGGTTGCAGTTCTTCTGCCGAGTCTGAGATACAGGTGACAGAGAGGCAAGAGTTTTAAATCCACACTGTAAACACCGGGCTGCGGTAATCCTGAACCAGTATACAATCACAAATTAAAGCAAAACAAACCTATCTGTGCAGCACTTTCCTTCCATTAGTGACCCAGAGCACATTACTTTACAAACCACTTCTGCAGATGTCATAACATGTATTCATTTTGTTTTCCACCACGTATCCTCCTTTTATAAATTCAAAATGACTTAACTTTGAACAATAACTAGTTCTTCATCTGCCATCCAGTTAGATGTTAGGGAAATGGTAGTTTGATTTCTTTGTTTTGCAGCAGTACTTCTTGGTGTCCAAAGCCGGCAGAATGTTACTGCTGGTCAGCTGAGGCAGGTGCTGTAACTAAAGGAGAAGTTACAGAGTGTGTTATTTGTGCAAAATGAGAATAAAGCATGTGTTTCATTTTTCAAAAAGCTATAAAACTATTCATGCTGTCACCCTGTACTTCTCAAACTAAGAGTCATGAGTCTGGTGTTCTACAACTGGACTGTGACCAGAATAGCTCATTAAAGGTCTTTCTTCCACTCATCCAAGGCAAGAAAAATCTTACTGCTATAGCCAATGTCACAGAAATGGAAGAGGCGAGTTGGTTGGATCCAGGAATTTATGTGCTGTAGCAGTTCTCCATCCTACACTTCCAACTTCCCGCATGTTCCCGGTTATAGCTCTCCTGGGGAACGTGGCTCACCGGAAGAGAGAACTGCTGGATGACTCTCATCGTGAGGCTGATGTGGAGACTTGGGCTGGAGTCCGGAAAGACCGCAATGGCTGGGAGACATTTCCAGTTGCAGAAACACCCAGCGCACTGTGTAACGTCTGGAACCGAGCGAGGGATCACATCCCACCAGCAGTTACACATGGAACTGGGCATTTTTGCCATCTCCATAATTTGGGATTCAAAAGCACCAAAAAGATCCCAGAGAACTCCAAATTAAACCAGCCACATGAGCCCATCCCGTTTGTTCAGCTCTCCTGCTACGCTTTGTCGGGAATGCACATTCCTGGACAAACCTGATCTCTCGCATGGCTGTGCTGCTGATCCTCAGCGACTCAGCAGAGCTGTGCTGCAGAATTCAGTCTGTGCTGAGTTACTCCTTAGCCAGGAGGTTTGTTTTCTCGTTGGGCTAAAATTAAGATCGGTCCAATGCAGGAGCTCTCTCTCACCATCAACTGCCAGCACGAGCACACCTCCTGTGAGGCAAACTGAAACCCAGTCCCCTCTTTAGGCACTGAACGTTAAATACTTATACACAAAAATGTTACCCCTGCCACGTGCTTCCGAGGCAGCCTGGCTGGTTTCCGAGCCGTTTTTTCATGTTCTTTCCCCAGATCTGCTGCCTCCCTGATGCTGTCAAAATACGGATGCTGCAGCAGCTGCTCACACGTCTGCCTCGCTGCAGGGTCCATATGAAGGCAACCCTTAGAAAAGATAAAGGATCACACAAAACATGCGCTAAACAGCTCTGCACAATTCCAGCTCCTCACCACAGCCAAAAAGTATTCACACAGATACGTGTTCATCTTTTTTTAATGGATTCTCAGAGCCTGGCTTTCCAGAGCCAGCACAAGTTTGCAAAGCAGCTAATACTGACCAACTGCCCCAAGGCAATACCACAAACTGTGGCTAGAGGGGCGGTTACAATTGTGTGGTGTAGCGAACCATCAAGCCTCCAAAACCAGTGAAGCCCGTAACTTTCATTTGAACCGGGACAACTTTCTTAAACGGGGAAATCCACTACAGCACTAGCTGTGTTGTTCCAGTGTTGAGCAGCAGATAACTAGCCACAGCTGCACCTTTTTAACGTGTCCGCCCCACAATTTCCATTCACTGCATCTTAATAAGAGAATAAAGACAAGTGGATTAGAGAGGAGTGGGTTAAAAGTCCTCTCCAAATCCCCTCCAGCTCTATTTTTCAATGAATCTCTGATAATTCAGTAGCCAACTCTCAAAACCATTTGCCAGCTGGGTAAGCAAGACAGACTGCATTCGCTCAGTCTCAGCGCAGAGCTCCTCTGCTACCTGTCGTACTCTTACCTTCATGAGAGCTAAAGCGGAGTGGGAAATATTAGGGAATTTCATTTCTAACGGCTCCTGGAGGGGAAAAAAAAAAAACCCAAACAGTGAGTGTACTCATATTAGCAAGCTTTTAATTCATCAGGGAGCAGCCTTCCACATCAACATGACCTGTACGTCACAAAACTCATCTGTCACTTCACGCGCATGGAGGGGAGCTGCCTGGCACTGCTGGGGACGGGAAGACTGGCTGCACCGCCACCAGAAGTGGGGAGAAGCAGCAGAGATGATGAGTTTGATGCTTTTACACAGGGTATCGGTTTAAAATGTTCATGGAGGGGTTCAGCCACCTCCAAATAATATCCTAGTGTACACTGGTAAAGTAGAGTGCAAAGTTTTTGGATTTTGGAAAAAATTCTGTGAAGCAAAGGAGTAGTCAAGCTGAGTAAGCGAGGCTTTTCCAGCTGTGCTTCCAAAGCAGATGGCACTTCTACTCTGGATGAAGGGAAGCAGGAACATTTCTCTGGCCAAACACCATGTTTCCTTAGCGCTGCAGACAGATTCCTGGTTAGTGCGAGGCTTAGGAGAAGCATGTCTGAAGGGAGCTCTTACCATGCTCTCTGGGTCTGGAATTCTCACCCCGCTGAAGAACTGGTTGGTGCTGAACACTTGCTGGTGCCTGGGAATAAGATCCCCTTTGACCGAGAAAAAAAGAAACAAAGTTGGATTAGTGTGCTGTTTTTACAGTTCCCGCGTAGAACACGCTTATCCTCTAACGAGGCTGAAAACATCCCAGAGAACATCTAAAGAGATGGAGTACCATGAAGTGAGCTGACAAAATGTTTTTTTGTGAAAACTAATGTCCACCGTGGACCACCAGTGATCCCACAGCTGTGTGACCACACTGATGAAAGGCCAGGCCACACAGCTCCAGCTGCCCGCAGTCACAACTGCCCAAGGCCTCACGCTGGAAATAGCTCCAAGAAATTCAGCTGGGGGGAGCAGTTTTGGAGCAGGAGCACTCAGCTGCTGTGCACCTTCCAGGCTCTGAGTTTCTGTGCTGTGCAGCAGAGCCTGTGGCCTCTACAGCTGGTGGCCCTGAAAAATACACATTTCTGTACATCTCCCCATGCCAAATGCCGAGATCCTATCACTGCGTTGTTTGGGTAACTGCAAATTTGGATTTCCACCAGCAAAAATACCCCTCGTCTGCTCTGTGCCAGCACCCGTACCTCCACTGTGCGCTGGTGGAACTCGAGATCCGTGTGTCAGTGAGCGAGGGAATGTGTCTCAGCATCATAGCTAGAGGGTGCTGCGCAAACACCTACCAGGATCTGAACCTCCAGCCGTGCCACAGCACCCTCAGCCAGGGATCCCTCCCGAAGCGTTAAGCAAGATCAGATCAGCAGCTAGCTCCCCTGCTCCCATCAGAGTGAGGGACCGGCCCTGGGCTCTGCTGAGTGACTGGCAGGAGCCACTGTTTGTTTTGGAGGCGGCCACAGGGCAGCATGGGCAGGCTCTGTTGGTGTGCCCTGTCGGAGTCTCCACACTAATTTCAGCATTTTCAAAGGAAAAGGGTTCCCAAGAGGCAGCCTGTCTGCATAAACAGTCGGGTCTTTTCTGACTGCTGGAAGGGGACAGGTTAACCACAAGGGTTCCAGCTTCGATAGAATTTAGCTCATGTGGGGTGAAATTCTTTTTGCACCCTCTTGAGGATGTTGCATAGAAAAGAGCTGAAATGCAGCACCAACAGGAACATGTTGTAGCTTTTCCCCAGTGCAGCTTCATGGCCCTTTTCTGAAGCTTAGAGCAGCTCAGAGCAAGCAAAATGTTAAAATCAAATCCATAACAAAAGAGCCAGTACAATATCCAAATCACCGTAATTACAGGTCTTTGACCGAGGAGCTTTTCTCTGTCAGTACCGCCTCAGTTCAGCACCTGCATCGAAAGGGAATTCCTTCTGGCTGAAACCCTATCATTAAAAATAAATTATAACTCACTTAATGCTGGCATAAATGTATTCTGGAGGATGAAACAATCGATGCTTAACTATTTTTCTAGCTAAGGAGCTCATATGTTTGAAGCCATTAGTCACTGTTGTAGTTTTATAAACTGCTCAGTAAAAATTACACTTCTCAGTTCATTCCATTTAAAGTGGGGGGTTGTTCCTTTCCACCTGAGAAATCAGATGTTACACACCAAGAGCAAATAGAATCGATGAGACTGGATTAATTCAAGTGTTACATGGATAATGGCTCTTTTATTTAACCTCTGTTCCAAATCCAGAGTGGCTCCTAAAGGTGGATAAAGACAAACAGGTGGAACAGTCAAACTTTGGTGTTCACGCTCTGTTTCCCACGCACACAGCCATCAACAGGCAGCGGCAACGTTTAGGAGACCTCCAAAGCCATGATCAACTAAATCCAACTATTCGTCATCTAGAAGCAGGGACTGCTTTGCCTGGTACCAAACCCTGAAAAATACCTGTATCCTTCAAACCTTTAAGCAAAACATTCCCGGTCCTTTCTGATACAGGCATCTCATTTTCCTGTCTGTGTGGTGGTCCTTTCTGATACAGGCATCTCATTTTCCTGTCTGTGTGGTGGCAGGTGAAGATGTGGAAAGCACAGCAGCAGGGACAGGTGGCTCTGTGCCTCCTGCGGGGCTGGCCCTGTGCTCCCCACACCCTGGTTGTCACCGAGCCAAAGGACCAGAAGGGCCATCCGCGGGTCACCTAACACAGCCCACATCTTTCTAAAACTGCCCAGCACCAGACCCAGCTTCCTAGGGGCCGCCACTGCTAACCAGTGCGGAAGGATGGCTTCAGGAAATGATCCTGCTTCCACAGCCCTGTCCCTCGTCAGCCTTTTAGCCGCAGCCTGGCACTGCTGGCTCACACACGCTGAAACCAGTTCTAACCCCACAGATCTTTTTCTGAAGAACAGTCATCACCCACGTGGATGCCAATCTCAATTTTCCCAAATGCTGCCAGCACCTGCAGCAGCATCTGTTACTCATCAAATCATCGAATCATAGAATCACAGAACGGTTTGGGTTGGAAGAGACCTTCAAGATCATTTAGTTCCAACCCCCTCCCAGCCCCCCCCCCTGCCTTGGGCGGGGACCCCTCCCACTAGCCCAGGTTGCCCAAAGCCTCATCCAGCCTGGCCTACTCCAGCTACACAATCTCCTAATGAGATGTGTAAGTCATGCCAGAACACCCATCTCCCTTGTAAGGACAGCAACACCCCAAATAACCCAGCACCTCCTAAAGGGAGGATCCACTGAGCAAATTCACCTCCTGGCTAATCCCGATTCCCACCTCAGAGGAAAGTTCTGGGCAAGCCCTAGTCCTGCCAAAGGCATCGGCAAGTCCCGGGCTCTGACCGGCGCAGAGGAGACACTTACCCAGGGTTCTCCGGATGAGGTACAGCTGGTCCACGTCGGACTTGCCAGGCCAGAGGGGAACCCCAGAGAGCAGCTCTGCAAAGACACAGCCTATTGCCCACACGTCCACGGGAGGGCCGTACTGCGTGTCTCCCACAAGTAACTCCGGAGAGCGGTACCACCTGGTAGCCACGTAGTCTGTGTAGTAATCGCTCGGACCAGCTAGGTTGGGGTCAGGAAGAAGAGAAACAAACAGGAATAGGGGATCAGAATGATGCAGACAAGCCACCATCAGTTGTTACACGTGTTGGGGCACCTCCTGGGCAGGCAATAGCTACAGGAAGAGGATGAGTCACTGGCCACTCGCAGAACCCAACTGTGGAAACACTTAAGATTTGGCAAAACTCAAGACCGTATTTTTCTCGAAATGAAAATATGCAGAGCTCCACAGCAGGGCCCTGCACCAGTCAGTGGTCAGTTCTCAAAGCCCACGTGATTTGTCTGAAAAAGAGCTAAAAAAAAAGTCAGATGGGGGGGGTTTATTACAACGGAAAATGTGAAGCCATTGTTTGCAGAGACAGCGCCTTCTGCCAGAGGGAACCCTCCTGCCAGGGAGCTCCAGCTGTGTCTCCAGCATTGCATAAGCCACGCTGGGCAGCTCACAACGCCCAAAGCTGACTGCCATCTGCCTGCGCCAGCGGAGTTTGTTGTTTAGAGGCACTTGGCATCACGGTGTCTGGGCTAGCTCCCTTTAAGCTGGTTTGGGGATCTCTACCCAGCGTTTAGCAGAGCTGCTCTGTGAAAACACACCAGCTTTTATACAGGATGATTTACACATGCATCAGACAAAGACAAGTGAGTCTGCGCTGGTGTTTGAAAGCCTGATCCTACGCTTCATTTGAGCTTCCACATGTTAACAATCCATGTCAGCAGCAAGTGGGCACTCACTCAGTAGGCGAGCAAATCCAAAATCACAAAGTTTGACGACCGAGTGCTTTGTTATCAGGATGTTTTCTGGCTTTACATCGCGGTGGATGCACTGGGCACAGAAAAAACAAGGTTAGAATCACGTACTCAACCTGGCCCTCAGATAAAGAACCTCCTAATCCAGCCACGCACCCCTTGCGCATTGCGCCACGAACATTAACCAGGCAATCATTACTGATGTAAGGGA